TTGTTTTAATTTTTTTCTTATTCATGTTTAATTATTAATTACTGGGACGTTATTTATTGGAAATAAATTTGGTCTCAAATAGTGTAGCTGACAATGAACCACCTGCTAAATATTGAGGAGTCTATTACTAACTAGAAGTGGAGGAGCTAAGGATTAAGCTTTCTTTTGGTGTAAAGTTTTAATTATGAAATTTTATTTTATAAGCTTATTTTTAGGTGCTCCACATAATTATAATTAGGTCCTTTATTTTATTATATACTCTATTTGCTAGCTGAAAGTAACTTTTCTCCTGATTGATTGGATATTTTAATTGAAATATTATAGCATTTTTAGGAGGTTCTATTTACAGGAGAAGTTCTGCCAAAATTTTTACAAAAATATTGAGTTTTGGTTACAATATATATATATATATATATATATACTTTAAGGATGCTATAATTTTGGTATAAATTCAATTATGTCTCAGAAATGGGAAGAGTTTTTTTACCTCAAGGTTAAGAGATGTATGTTTGTGCATATATCTTATGTCGGTCACGTCAAATTTTTAGGACGTGACACATATGAATGAATTCTATTGATTTAATTATTACTTAGTTCTTAAACTATTAGATTTTCCAAAATGATAAATTTCCATCATCATTAAGGTTTAAAAGAAATCAAATTAAAATTCCACGTACTGGACACGTTGTTGCGGCTTGCTTTTCTTCTTCTATCATGATTAATATAAAATATAAAAGCTATAATAAATTATAATATTTACAATCTATATTATACAATGCAATATAATTCATTTCAGATTCAGCATAATTTTTATTTTGTGTAATGATGCAATATAACAACATCAAGGTATATGTCTGTGATTACATTTCAGGGAGCCCCCAAAAAAATAAAAACAGAAATACATGCACAGGGAAAAATAATGTTATGTGATCCTATGAAAAATAATATAATGTGACATTGTCTTTTAACAGGAATAAATATCAGACATGCTACTAGCCTCTCGTATGTAACCCTCCACTAACCATCATAAAAATATCATTTTGACCAAGATAAAAAGTCCTTAAATTTAGCTAAACTGGATTCAGAAGTTGATCAAGATTGAGGTATTTACAATTTCAAGAACACTTATGGGCCACTAACAAAATTGTTAAATCAACAGTAATATCTGAACTCCCATTCTTGGGAGACATCGATGATTATCTAATTCATCATAGGAGAGTTTTTCTATTGTGAAGAGAGAAGTCTTTCTTTGCATCATTTCAAGAAAAGTTGATAAAATAGATGGATATATAAAAGATATTTTTTCTTTTACATCACTTTGACATGAATGAAAAGGAATTGTGACATTTCATTTCTTATAACATTTTTAAATCAATCATTTTTTTATATCGTAAAGGACAATAGAATTGTTTATAATCCAAAAGTATTCTTAGAAGAGGTTTTTCTAATTGAAAAATATCTTTCTCCTCTCTTTCATTGATTTTGTACGAATTGACTCTTTCCTTCAAAAAATGAGAAGCAGAGAGATGTTATGCATTAGCATTTTTTTTTTTTTTACTATTGTTTAGTTATCTTCATTTTGGAAAGTCATTAGTGATTGGACCAACCTTGTTAGCATATAAAATACTTTTATTAGAGCGATTTTGTGTAAATGTAGAAAATGTCTTTGTAAAGACTATCTTCAATTGAGCCCAACAATGCTCAAATTGAGTTAGTTAGAGTGAGTGAATTCAAAAGTGAGATTTTGTCAAAACAACCAAATAACCAAATTTTTTAAAAGTAATTCAATTAATAAGTCTCATTATTCAGAAGTCATGCATAACAAGACTAATCAATATTCCACAAAATTACATGAGAAAGTGTATCTAATAATTAAAATGAAAAATGACAAAATTAAAGGTACTAAGTATTTTAACTTCAACTGCTACTAGAAAAGTTTAATATTGTTCCCAATAATTGGACTAGATACTTGATTGTGAGCTCAACTCTGTCTTCAAACTTGATGTGTTGATGTTCTGAACTAAGGACACTTTTAATTCGCATTGCCTTCTTATGTTGAGGAATGTATCCAGAATAAAATAAACTAAAGAGTTGAGGGAAACTTTAATTACCTAATTTACTAAGAAAGCCATCGACTAGGTTCTACAATAATACTAGCAGGGTGATCATCGGCATAAGGGACACTGTTAGAGCACTTACTCAGCCCAAGACTACAACCAACTTGAAGTCCATCTCTAGCACCGCTAAGGGCCTAACAACACAAGAGAATTTAGCCTACCATAATGTAACTAGAAGCAACTAAGGCTACATGTACACTATCATTTATCCATATGATATATCATATGCCTCAACACCTCACATTGTGTATATATACTACACAAGCTCTGTAATCAATAGTATGGTGCTTATAATATAATTGTTATCATTTTGGTCTCTTTACTCTCACATGGTATTAGAGCACAATGACCACATTAGAGGGTTCTTCCCCTTCCACACCTTCTATGGCCTCCACCACATTATCTCTCCCATCTTCACCAGTACACTTCATCTCTATCAAGCTTACTCATGATAACTATGCTATGTGGAAGGCTCAAATGGTGCCTTACCTGCATGGCCAATAACTTTTCTTACTAATCGATGGATCTTTTCCACCTCCTCCCAAATTTTTTTTCTTTTGGAACTCCTAATCAAGATTACATCAAATGGTTTTAACAAGACTAGCTCGTTCTATCTATTCTTATTTCCTCCTTATCCGAATCCTTAATCAACCAAGTAATAAAAAACAAAACAACACACTCCGTGTGGGTTTCTTTAGAAAAATTGTTTGTAAACAAATCTCAAGCATGATTCCTTCAACTTCATAATCAGATTACCTCTCTAAAAATAGGGTAATGACTATGTCTCAGAATATTACAAAAAGGCCTTGTTACTCACTGACTCTCTTAGCATTGTTGGCAAACCTGTTGATGACAATGAATTTATCACCTATCTCTTAAAAAGCCTTGGCTTTGACTTTGAATCCATTATTGCCTCTATTACCACCATGTCCATCACCTCTCTCCTAAAGAAGTCCTTAGCTTCCTTTTCATTTATGAAACCTAACTACAGTAATACAATGCGGCCTCCCCTCTTGGAATCTCTACTAATTTCACTAATGCACCAACTACTCAACCTCCTTATCGTGGTTTTTGTGGACGCTTTAATCGTGAAGGAGGTCATGGGTATGGTCATACACCTTTTAGGCTCACTAGTCCGCGTGGTACGTCTGATTTTTTTAAACCCATTAAGTATCAACTGTGTGAATGCTATGGTCACTCCATCCATACTTATTACTACTGATTTGACCACTCCTACCAAGCACCACCACCACCACCTTTCCTTGCTCAATCCCACCATGTCTCTCTCTTTACCACACCAGATAACTCTTAGTATTTTGACACTGGCTCCACCACCATATGACAACAGACCTCTATAAACCCAACCTTCAATCTGAACCTTACCATAGTCATGACTCTATTCAAACTAGTGGCTACTCTAGGCTTTTTATCGACAGTTCTAGCTCTAGTTTATATCCCACCAACTCTCACAACTTTTACTTATCTAATATCCTTCATGTCCCTTCTACTTTTAAAGATTTTTTATTTGTTTCTCATTTTATCACGATAATTTTGTTTACTTCAAATTTTATTACTCTCATTTCTTGTGAAGGCCCTCTAAACCAATCGCACCTTGCACAACGGCCCTACTAAGCACTTCCTTTATCCCTTAAGACCTGAAGCCTGCTTGGGTGTCAAAGCATCTAAAACTTAATGGCATGCATGACTTGGGCATCCAATTTGTAAGACTATTCAACATGTTCTCTCCAAATATTCCATACTATCTCTACCATCCACCTCTGTTTCTTTCTCTGTTGTAATATGTCTAAAAGTTATTGCACTCCCTCATCCCACTTCTCCCATCGATCCCCATACCCCTTTTTTAGTTTTTAGTGATGTTTGAGGTCCAGCCCCATATTTTGTCCATTTCCAACTATCGCTATTATGTCTCATTTGTAGATGATTTCACTAAATATACTTAGTTTTATCCATTAAAGCTTAAGTTTAATGTAACAAAAGCTTTTTCTCATTTCAAAAATTGGTTGAGAACTTATTAATTCAAAATCAAATTTCTCCAGACTAACGGGAAGGGTGAATTTCAAGTCCTTTATAAACACCTATAAGAAAGTGGCATCATTCATCACATCACTTGTCCTTATTCTCATGCCCAAAATGGCACCATCGAATGCAAACACCGTCACATAGTTGAATCTGGCTTATCACTTCTTCAACACGCCTTTTTATCCAAATAATTTTGGGTCACACCTTCTCTACTGCCATTTATCTCATAAACTGTCTTCCTTCCCCCCACTCTTCATTACAAATCTCCCTTTCAACTTCTCTTTAACCACTCTCTCGATTACACCTTCCTCACAATATTTGGTTGTGCATGTTGGCCTCACCTTCATCCCTACAATAGCTCAAAGCTAGACTCTTACTCTTCCTTATGTATTTTTCTCAGCTATGCCACTAACCATCATGGCTATATTTGCTTTGACACCACCACCCATCATACCTACGTCTCCAGGGATGTTATTTTTCAAGAAACCCATTTTCCTGAGCTTAATTTATTTTCCTTTACCTAATCTGACCTTACACCAACTATATCATCCTACTTATACTTACCTCATCTTCATCACTAATAACTATATTACTAATCCAAACCCTTCTATACCTCAGCCCAACCCAATCTCACTACAACCCAAACCACCTCCTCCTTACATTCCTAAACACATCCTTTCAGCCTAACACCACCAAGCCAATGCCTCATACTCCCTCTTCCCCCACCCTACCCGAGCCTACAAACACCTTAGGCCCTACCTCATCCTTATCTCCTCTGTTTATGTCTCCCCTTCCTCTGACCATACTGTCTCTTCCTCACAGTCCAATATGTCTAACACATCACTACCCCAATAACTGCATATGACCACCAGATCCCAAAATCCATTCCCTCAAATTGAAAATATTCACTGATGGCACTATATGATAGCCACCCCTTAAGGCTTTTCTGACAACTGCAAGCTCTTCATCCGAGATACCCTTCTTGATCTTTGTGGTGCTGCATTTTCTAGAATGGCAAAATGCCATGGTCATTGAGCTTAAAGCTCTTCATACCAATCAAACTTGGCTTTTGGTCCCTCTTTTGTCCAATCGCAATATCATTAGATGCAAGTAGACTTTTTGAAAGAAGTTCAACGCAATGGCTCTCTAGACAAATTCAAAGCTCGTCTTGTGGCAAAAAGATTTGACCAAACTAAAGGCCTTGACTATTATGACACTTTCTCCTGTCATCAACTGGTAACCATCCGTGTAACAACCAAAATTTTTTAATTTGAACAAAATTTCCTTTCAAGGGATATTTATTAAAATAAGTTTTTTTTGCAACTTTAATTTTATTTTATTTTAGATTATAGGAAATTTTGGGTTTTTTTATAATTTTTGTTGGTCTTTTTTTTTATAGTTTCCTGGTGCTTTTCTTGGAATTTTCCCAAACTTCCTTATTTGATGGTATTTCTTCACGTGAAAGAAAGAAAAAAACAGAGCATTCATGTTTATTTCTTCACCGACCTTGAGTTCTCTCTTCTCATCACCATTACCTCCATCTCTTTACCTTCAGCTGCTTTTCTCTCACCGATGGCTGAACTGGTGTGTCTTGGCAACTAGAAGTGGCTCACTAGAATCTGTTCTTCTTTGCTATCATCTTTTGCTTATCCATCAAAGTAGAGCGTTCGTGTGCGTGTCTTGGTGTAGCTTCATCCTTCCTTTTTCTCTTTATCTACTAAACGTTTTATATAGGGGTATGATAAGCTAAACTTTTCTCTTTTTGTGGTCCACAATTTTTGGTTTCCATCTCCTTATTTGAGTTATAGAACAGAGCTTGCTTCCTTCACCAATCTCGACCACGTGCTGATCTTGAACTGTCATCGCTGTACTGTAGTTTGAGGTAAATCATTGATCCTCTCTTCTCCTCACTACAAAACTTGTTCTTATCTTCCTCTTCGCTATTCGTCCTGTTCGTCTGGTGATGAGCTGAGTTTTGTTCTCTTTGGTGACTAACAAAGGGGGTGTAAGCACACATATTCAACCTTAGTTTTTCTTTTTCCTCTATTGCTAGGCACTGTGTGGTTTGTAAAGACAAAGCTCAAGTTTATATATATATATATATATATATATGTACATATATATGCTGATTCTACTTCTTCCTCATGTGGAGCAACTAGGTTGAATTCTACCTTTGTCTTTTGTGTAGTCTATGAACCTTAGGATGTTGTTTTTGCACTTCTATTCAAGGTTAGACAGCGATCCTTTCTTCTCCTTTGAATTTATCATGTAGCATGAATCATCCTTTCTCATCCCTTGGCCGAAGAATGTGTCTCTGCTCCTCCTAATATCTATTATAATTTTGAGGAAATTGATTTGTACTTTAAGTAGGTGGCTGTAGTTTTGGAGGATGACTACAATGTGATAATAAAGTTATTGTTAACGGATGATTAATTATTGAACAATTATTGTGAACCAAATTTTTGATATACTCACAATATTTGCAAGTATGCTTGAAAGAAGAAGTTAATGGAATAGAATTTATTAAAATTTTGTTTAAACTTGGAAAAAGAGTTGCATCAATAGTTGTGCTTGAATGTGCCTAGTATTGTTGACTACTTAATAGAGGTTGTTGAAGGGTTTAGTGAGAATTTAAGGGGTTATTGAGAAATGAATAATGAAGAGATTAAATGTTAATTTCACTTGCTTATATTAGAAATGAAATCATAATGACATGAAATGGGGTGGTTTACATGCTAGATTAAATTGGGGCATCATTGGAGTAAGTAAGAAATTAACGAGAGTCTGACCATAAGATTTTGAAAATTCAGGTGAGTGGGTAACGTTCCAAATCAATTTTAGTAAAGTGTTTATAAATCTCCTTCATTAAGTTTTATACTATTCTTTATAAATAGTACAAAACTCTTGTAATTCTATTTTATTCTAACAATTGTTTTGTTATTGAAAATGCATTGATTTATTGATTTATATTGCTGATAAGTAATAATTGAAATGGATATATGGTCAATTGGTTGTTTATCAAAAGTAGTTTATTATTTAATTCTATGTTGATAATTTTTTTATGCAATTATTCATGTATGGAGGAAATGAAAATAAATCCTGAGCAATAGAAAATGATAGTTGAACAGTGTTTGAAAAAGATAATTTTGATAATGCTTTCTTACTCCATACCTGCTTGGTTTAATTAACGGGGGATTGAGTTCAAACGCTGGTTGCTAACGATAGTTTCGTTAGCCTTGGCACGCTATGGTACACTAGCTAGTAGGGTGTTTGTAGGAGGTGCTAGCCCTGTGCACAGGCCAACCGCGCACAGAATGGATGGATGGATATTTGTGAACATCGTATTCACGCTTGTTTCGTGAGCTACATGCCTACGCTTGTTTCATAGCTTCTAGCCGCGCTGTTTGGTAATTTATCCTTATGGACTATGTGTTCACGCTTGTTAGTTACTTACCTCGTGGATTATGGTCCACGCTTGTTAATCGTTCTGATTAAATCCTGCTAAAATGTGAAATTTGAGATTATTATTTTTAAATTCTATTCTAATAAATAAATTATTGTTTAATTTTATATGATTTTATATGATAAATTTCCTCCTAGATTGGATTTTTAAAAAAAAATGTTGTTTTATATTAGTTATTTATAGATATTTCCTTGATTATTTCATCATTTTGAATTCTTTTTGGTATATTTTTATTTTATTGTACGATTCTTGAATAGCCTATCAAAAATTTCAAAATATTTGTTTATTCCACAGTTATGTTGTTGAGTAACTTTGTCATTTATTGGTTGTTTATGTGACTTAATATTTCATTGATTCATTTTTAATAAATTATATTAATTACTACTTTACGTGTTATCTATAACTTTAATCGGGACGCTACTCATTGAAAATTTCTTTGGTCTCGATAACATAATTGACCTTGCCCACTTGCTAATCATTGAGGGGCTTTATTGCTTTAGGACGACAGAAGCCACGCTTCAATCATTTATTTAAATGTAAATATTCATTATATTATACAGTGATAATTAGTGCTCCACGTATGCCGTAATTAGGTCCTAATTTTATTTTGCTGATATATAATCTGTTGCTGTGGAGCTAATCTCCTTTACTGAATTGATTGGTTGGTTTAGCTATTGTAGGAATTTTAGGAGGTCCAAATTTACAGGGGAGGCTTTGGTAAAATTTCTACAACTACCTAAGATTTTACAAACCTTATAAAACACATATAAAAATATATATTGATAATTTAACTTAATTTTGGTAATTAAGGCTTATGGATGTGAGGTTATCTCATATTTCGTGCCAGTCATACCTTTAGACTAAGGGTGTGCACAATCGTGTTCTTCTTTCTATTCTATTTCCTTTAGCTAGTGTATTAAAGCAAAATTGATATTTAAAATGCTTTTCTCTATGGCTATATCGATTAGGATATTTTTAAGCAACAACTACCTAGATTTGCAACCTCAATTTTTCCACACCATGTCTCCCAACTCAACACTTACTCTATGGTCTTAAATAGGCTCCTCGTGGCTAGTTCTCTCGTTAAGCACTTGTCTCACCTCTTGGGTTTTATTCCCTCTAAGTCTGATGTCTCCTTATTTATTCAGTACATTGTTCATTCTATCATGTATATTCTTATATATGTTGATGATATTCTTATCACAGGGTTTGATTCTACTGCCATTGATGCCTTAATCTGTAATGACCTAGAATTTAATTGAAATTCAAATTAATGATAAGGTATTTTGAGGATATATATATATATAATATAAATTATTAATTTATCAAGGAGGTGAGTTAGCCTAGTGGTGATTGAGCTAGTCATTCATAAAGCAAGTCTTAGATTCGAACCCTTTCAATGCAAGGGGAGAAAATTTTTATTTTCACCAATAACTTGGCTAAATTACCATTTTTGCCCCTTGGTGTTTATTAGAAAAAAAAGAAAGGGGAAATTCAAGATAAGATCAGGAAGCTTCAGCTTTATTGAGAGAGACTGTTCCAAAGGAGAGAGATTGCTGATTTTTATTTCCTTCGTTTCATGATCCTCTACTCTCTGCCTTCTTTCCTTCCTTTCCTTCCGTTTTTCAACCACTACCACGAGTATGGCTATCGTTGCTTTGACCGTCCGCCATTGATAGGTGCTAGAGCTAGCTGATTCATTGCTATACATCTGAGAAGGTTCAAAGGCTGTAGATTAAGGAGAATGGGGAGAGAGCTTTGAACCATAGCTGCGTCTTTTTCGATCTCCTTCCTCCTACTATTCTTTTCATCTATCACCAGTGAGCTTGAGCATGTTGCAAATTTCTTCTTTCTCTTCCTCTATTCTACATCACTGATCACTTAACATTATAGGTCGTCGTTCAGCTCGTCTATCTGTAGTTCATTTGTGTTAGCGGCCGTCCTTCTTCCTCTATTAATATTGTGCTATGGGTTCTTAAATTTTAGATTGGGAGTGGTTGATTCCTGCAAAAGGCTAATTTATTAGTTTTCTCCTTCCCCTATTCACACCAAACTTCTCTCCCTCCATCGTCATCATTGCCTATGGCTAGTGGGGAGCTCATTCTCCTATCTTCATGTCTAATGATTTTATCTAGTGCATATTATATATATATATATATTGCCTTTTCCTGCTTGCTGTTCGGTTGAAACTGTACTGTTTGGAATTGAAATTGTTTTTTTACAAGCTTCAATTGATATTTTTGATGGGGAATTGGATTGGAAAATCATGATAAATTTAATGGTAGATGTATGGAATTTGTTGGGTAAGAGATTGAAGCTAAAGAAGTTGTATTGAATGGCTTTTAAGTTGTGCACACAAGGTGTTTGATTTAAAGGATTGAGAGAGAATCATGTCCCGATGGAATAATTGACTACGGCTAAAGTACTATGAAGAAATTGTGATATAAATGATGATATTTGGATAATGAATCATTAACTAACTCTTTGTAAAATTATGATGGGGGTTGTCTTCCACACCCACTTTATTAACTTACTTGCTCAGA